AAGCCAAGTCCTGGCCTTGACCTGGAGGACCAGATAAATAGCAGCCATGCCAGATACCAGGCTTCTCATGGGTCAGTCACAAAGGAATGACTGGGAACCCTGGAGAAATGCAGATCTCAATGCAGAGGCTTTGAGGTGACCACAGACCCTGCATTTATGACAAGATCCCAGACGAAGCCCATGCTGAGGCCCAGGTGCCACCTTTGGGAAGCAGGGGTCCAAGTCACAAGCAGAGAAAACAACTGGGCTTCTGGAAACCAACTCCTGGACCCCAGCCCAGATGGGACAGAGGTGCACTGGGCAGGTCTCTCCTGAGTGTTTACGTGTTAGAAGACTCATGACCCCTGGCCGAGGGATTCCTGGCTACTCCACAGTCCTTCCAGCCCCTGATACCAACCAAGCCGTGTGCGTCTCCATGGAAACCACAGCAGGAGCCAGATGGAGGCAGCAGATGACTGGCAGCACTGGGCTGGTCCTTCTTGGGTGCCAAGTTGTCTGGCCCCAACTCACTAATCTCAGATGTGCCCCCCTCATTCCTCCCCATCTCTCTCCTCATCAATGCCACATCTCCCAACACTGTCTCCTGACCCCACTGCTACCCTCTCCTAGCGGCACCCCCCCACCTCCTTAAGGCACTGCCTACTGATCTAAGACCCATCCCTCTATCTGTCCAGGCCTGCCCCTTTGGTAAAGCATCAGGGGTTCTCAGCTCCCCTGACTTTCTTTTCCAGGAACCAGAAAGGAGAAATGAAACTGAAACTGAACCTGAGTGCAGTAGGAAATGCCAGACTGGCTGTTGGAGGAGGCAGAGCAGTTTGCAATAATGCATTTCCCCACAGTGGGGCACCCACGCAGCTCTGAAACAGGGCACCATCAGCTTCCCATAGGAATGTGAGAAATGCACTAATGGGAGGGAGGGGACAGATGTGAGTGACTCCATGGGCTCTTGTCTCACTCTCAGAAGAATCAGACACAAGTCTGGGCTCAGGAACAAGTGTCCCTGTTCTTGAACTCAAGTATAAGAAAGCCAGGCTATGGGGAGAGAAAGTCCCCAGCTGACCCCTGAGGAAAGGAAGGGCCAGGCTTTTATTCATGTGCAGGGGTTGCCAGGCTGGAGAAAATGTGGCACATTCCCACGGCTCCTGGACACAGTTTGAAAACGTGATTTCCTCCAGGGCAAACATCCTGGCCTCGAGGAAGGGGCGCTCAGCTTATCCCAAGAACAGCTACAGTTTTCTATGGGCTTCCTGTCAACCTGCACGAGAATGGTGTCTGGTGGTCAGATTGGGCTGATCTAGCTGTTAAAACAAAATGAAACAGCAACAAAAATGCCTATCACCTTTTAAAGTAGAACCGTGTTTACAGCTCACAAGTTTGTTGTCCTTTCATTTTTTTGTGGGATCCCCAACAGAACAGCCTCCTTTGCTCACCTCCTTTATTCTTGGAGAGGTCAGGGAGGAGTCCTAGCTTTTGCGATGCACCTGTTCCATTACTGATTGGGAGAGTGAGGGGATAGGGAAGAACACAGGGCGCACTTTCGCTGGATAACAGGCTATGGATTCAAGCCCAGGAGTGCACCCGCCTTTTGTCCTCTGTGATGGTCCCTGACTGTCTCACTGATGCCACATAGCCTGCTGGGGATGGCTTTCCACCAACACCAACCCAGCTGTTCTCGGCAAGGTCAGCCCAGGTCAGACAGGGCAGATGGTGAGAGGGCTGGAGACCCAGGCACTCAGGACTGGGTGAACACAGGGTGTCAATGTTTGGCACTAATATGATTCCCTGGTGGGTGACTTGTGTTTGACAGATAGGTTTTAGTGGAGGGAGGAAAAACTACTAAGAGGCCAGGATCAAGGTTGAGCCATGGTGGGCACTCCAGAGGCAGAGAGGAGGGCACTTCAATGGAGAAAATTCAGCAAATGACCATTGAGCACCCACAGGTGCACCAGGCTCCATGGCAGGTACCGGAGAATACGGTATGACAGAATCTCTCCCTGTCTTCTTGGAGGTGACACCCTGCAAGATGGTGGCCCTGTCTCCACTATCCAAAACATCCACCAAAGACCCAGCAGAACCAGCTGGAACTTAGCAGTGGGACCCTGGAGACATAGCCAAGGGACTTTGCAGGGAGGAGAGTTTTCCCCAGGGCCAGCAGGGGCACCAACACAGTGGCAGAGCAAGAAGTTTGTGCAGTGTCCTGGGGTGTTCAGTGGGGTGCTAAGGTGGCAATGGAGGTGACCTGGATGAGCTCAGAGGCCATTCTCAAAGACTAGGGGTCCGACTCACATTTGATAGGAAAAAAGAGTAACTGCCATTTCTCAAGGAGCAAGCACCTCCGCCGCGATTCAGAAGGAAAATCAGGAACTTCCAGAGGCCAGGAGCTGCCTCTTGCTTGTAGGCTGACTTTAGTTTCCTGTGCAGCAGGTCTGGTCTGTGCTGGAGATCTGCATTGCTCGGTAGTGTCGGGGTCTCGAACACGGCCGCTGCAGGCGCTGGGTTCGGTTTCATTTCTCAGTCCTGCACAGCTCTCCAGAGTCCCTGCTAGGGCCCCAGGGAATTTAGGTTTGTGAGACTTTCATTTCTGCAGGATTTCGGTGTGGCGGGGGGAGGAGGGCGTGGCGGGGGCGTGGCGGGGGCGTGGCCGCCCGCACAGGGTTCTCTATTTAAGGAAGAGCAGCCTGGCAGCCGCTCAGTGCATCCTGGTGGGGAACTGGTGAGTGTTGCGCCCCGGGACTCCGCGCATCTTAGCTGCTGAGCGAGGGATTTCATCGCTGGACGATCGCCTCGCGGGGCCTTTTTCCGAGCTGGCAATACTAGTAATTACGCTAATGCAGACGGGGCTGGGTGGCTGAGACCCCCCTCAGAAACAGCCCCCTCACCGCGCTTCTCTGCTGCTGGTGGCGGGGATGGGGGTCCCAAGTGGCTCTCCGAGGGACTCTGGTTAAGAAGCGGGGCGGGGGGATGCTGAGAAGTTTCAGATCGACTGCTCCGTGGGCTTTGAGCCCACCGAGACTCAGACCATCATTCACTGGGGTCCTTTTCCCTAAGTGCTGGGAGCTGGCAAGGCAAGGTCTAGGGGGATTCTTTAAAGTGAAGATGGTGGGGGCGTCAGGGACCCGGCATGAGGGAGCCAGGGAGTGGGGGGGCAGCACGGATGCGCATGCTCAGAAATGCCCTGTCCCCCAGCACAGGGAGAAGGAGATGCCCTGGACTCCAGTGGGGGCGTGGCGGGTGGACATGGTGGGGCTGATTCAGCCTCTAGAACCTTCCAGTTTGTGGAGATGATTTGCATCTGTGCGGGCGTTGGAGGGACGCCAGCAGTCCAGGGGGATGACAGAGATGTCCAGACACTAATGAGACCCAATCGCACCCCACCTCACAGGTGACCACTAATTAGCCACTCGTAAAGGATTTTTGAAGGTGTTTACTCAAATTGTCAGTCAAGTTTTTTTGTGGGTGCAAGAGCAAGTGATGCTATCCCCACCCCCCACTGTCAGTCTCCCGAAGTCCTAAATGTCTGAGGAAGGAGCCACTTCTCTGCTTTGCAATGCAGCTGCTGGTCAGGAATTCCTGGGACAGGATCCCCCCACCCTTGCTCCCTGCTTTTCTGCCCTTTGGACGCTCAGCCAGCCTGGGTGGTAGGCAGCCATGTTTGCTCTGACCTGCAGGATGCTCTCCCTTCCATTCATAAACACTGACATGCCAGTGGCTTTTGAGGGAAATCCTTGCAGGAGAAAAAGTTCTAAGTTCTAAGTTCTGCGAGGGTTAATTTTTTAAACCTATGAACCACCCTGGGAAGGTCTCAGGTTCTCAACATCTTGGGTTTTTCTAGTGCTGCTTGCTAGGTGGCCCTTGTTGGAGTAGGAGTAGTGAGGACGGAGGGGCTGCCTTACTACCTCCCACCTGGCTTCTGTTCTGGTCTGAGCTGAGGAGGCTTGCTCACAAGGACAGAACCACAGGGGCCCCTTGAGTCTGGCCCCACCCCCTGCCTCAGGGATCACTGTCCAGTGCTGCTGTAGGTGGCAGCTGGAGGCCTCAGGCAAACTCTCACTGCCTGACTGGAGTGGAGGGACAGGGTCCTCAACCCAGCTCAGGGACAGCGGGAGCCTGTGTGGGCGCAGACCTGCCCTGGGTGGATATGCACAGACCTACACAGGACAAATGGCCCTTCCCTGCCCCTGACCTCGGGATGAGGCAGGAACCTGTAAATGATGCTACCTTGTGCACTATGTGGCTGAGCTGCAGAGTGGGTGCTGTGCAGAGGGGTCTGCTGCAGGGAGGGTAGGGAGGGAGCTGGGCACACACCCACCACCCAGGCTCCTCTGTAAATGCAGGTGCAGGGACATTTTAGGAGCGATCTGGAGCTGAGAGCTAGGGGGCGCCACTGCTTAAGGTGCCAAGATCCATTGATGGCCATGTTGAGGTCAGACCTACAGCAGGACGCTCAGTGCACTGGGAAAGCAGAGCGAGTGGTGACTGAGACAGCCTGCTCCTGAGACCAGTAGTCTCAAAGGTGACCAGAGGGAGAAACTAGTGTAGTTTGTAGACAGACCCAGGATTTAACTCTTAGGGCCTCTCGTTTCATGAAACGAATAGAGGAAGGGATAGACTCCCCAGTCCTGATTTACCCGACAGAGTTGAAGCCTTGGGCATGGGGCACAAGCCCCCTGATGGTGCTGTAAGGCCAAGCGAGGAAGTCCTGGCCCCCTAGCCAGGTGTCCAGATGGGCAGATAAGGGGGGGTTCACTATGCACCCTGGGCCACCTGGGAAATGAGATCTTTCCAAAGGTGGGTGCAGGGGGAATGATTTAGAGAACAAATTTCCAGGTGTTCCTACTCCATAAGTACCTTTTAAAATAGGTCGCCTTTCACAGTCACCTTCCCCTCACCTTACCAAATGAAACACTGATGGAGTGACTCTGCTCTTGAAGCCTCTACACCTGGGGGCAGGTGGAGAAGGAGGTTGTAAATATTCATGACCTGAGTGTGTCCTTTCGCAGGAGCCCATCAGCCAGCATCCAAGCTTTCACACTCTCGCATCACAGTGTGCAACTGGGGAAGGAGGAAGAAGATGGGTCCTACTCCACAGAAAGCCAGAAATTGTGATTCAGCTTCGGTATCAAACCATCTATTAGTGAATGGAGATGCTAATGTGACAAAGGAAACTCAGGACATGGTAAGTTGCTGTGTCAAAGTCACTGCTCACAGGGACAGTGTCCATCTGCGAGGTGGGGTGGGGTCTGCAGTCGTGAGTGGGCTGGAGTTCTAGAGAGGAAGAGTGCTGCTGTCTGAGATGATGGACTCCTTGTCCTTCCTGGGCCAAAATGTGCATCTGAGTCCTCTGCTCACTCAGCTTGGGTCAAGCAACGGGCAAATGCAGACATTTTCCTGATGTCGAATGTGTCCAAGCTGCTGTCTTGGTTTGGGCATGCAGTGGACACTGATGGTGTCAGGTAGGGACTACAGGGTGCACTGAGCTGCGCCCTGTCTACGCCATAGCTCAGGCTCCAGCTATAGTCCCTGTGATGTCTCACTGTGACATTTCCTTCCTAGAAAAGACACATGGTGTCTGTCTTCCTACAATCGACCCATTTTTTGGTAAAAATCAACCATGGGCTGTAGAGTGATTTGTCTTGCATTTGGTCCCGTCACTGACCTTGTCAGCTCTCTGACCTAGGTTAGTTCGTCTCTGACCTAGGTTGGTTCATCTCCTTAGAAGCCTGGTTTCCATCTGTAAGGTGGGGGTCAACAGCACGGGCCTGTTCAGAGTGACTGCAGCTAACAGTGGGCACTCAGAAAAAGATCAGTATATTGCTGTAGTCTGCTTTAACCCCTGGACGAGCCTGGGGGTTCGCTCAATGGAAATCCACTGGCCTAGCATTTGTGAGACCCCGTTTCCATCCCTAGCACTGCACAGTTAATGAATATGTGAATGAGCCCCGGACCACCATTTTGGATTGTATCCATTTTGAAGCGATGTTCAACTATTTTTCAACCATATGAAGTGTTGAAGGTCATAGACAACTGAAAATAGACCCCTATCTACCACGCTGTACTCCCTGTTTACACTTCTGTGCATCGCCCTCCCATGTCCTCTCCTGTCTGGCTGTAACCCTCACACCCACTGTGTCAGTCACTTTCCATTAGGAACTCCTGAGTTAATCAACTTATAAAGAAGAGAGGATTGTTTCAAACACAGTTGCAGAATTTTCAGTGCATGACCAGTTGGCCCCACTGCTTTGGGCCTGCGGTGCCCCATCATGGTAGGAACTTATGGCACAACAAAGTGGACACCTCATGGAGGGAGGAGAAAGAGAGTCCACTTTGAGGACATTCCCTCCCCGGTGACCAGATGCCTCCCACTAGGCCTCTCCTCTTCAAACCCTACCAAGTCCCAATAGCACCCACCAAGCTGAGGATGAAGTCTTTACCCAGTGGGCCTCTTTGGGGGACATTTCAGATCACATTGTGGCACCCTCTCACTCCCACCTGCTTTGGACGCTGCTGGCCTCTCCCATCCTGTGACAGAGTGCATCTGTCATTCAGCAGCTCTACTTCTAGACAGAGAGAGACCGAGGTTCTGAAAGTAAGGCCTCAAACCAGCAACATGAGCACAGCCTGGAAGGTGTTGGGACTGAGCAACTTTTGTCATCAAAGGCAGGGAGCCTTGTTCCAGACAGTGCAGTGGGTCACACAGATCTCAGAGGCACATCGCAAAGTTGAGTTGATAACTCAAGTTTCAAAACCCAACCTGGCCATGTAGGGATTCACAGCCAAGAGCCAGGTGAAGGACAGGATGGGAGTCCCCAAGAGGGACTTGATTAGGTGGCAAGGGCAGAGGCTTCTTCAGTAAACCCGCTGAGCAGGGGTCTTTGCTAAACTGGGCACAGCAGCAAGGCACACATTAGTGCAGAGAGGCTGAGGAGCCCGCCCACATGTGGTCAGGGTGTCCTGGCCAGTGTGTGCCCTGCTTGGCAGAAAAACACCGTGTCCCCTCGGTCATCACTCGTTGCACTCCATGTTCCATTAGCGGTGCTTCTGACCTTGCCTCCCCTTGCATTGTGTGGCACTGACTAACCACAGCCGCTTGGTTGTCACAGCTCAGGTGACAGGAACATAGAGGCCATGGGTGTGCCTACACCTCCGAGACATCAGGACAGCCCCAAACAGGGAATATCTGGCCCCGTCCTGGAAGCCGGGACTGGTCTCAAAAGCTCCTGTGTATTATAAAGCACGCTACAATGGGACCACAGAGAGAGAAGTAAAGGCAGACAGGATTTTCCCCGACTTTCTTGCTGGACCCCAGTCAGCGGCCTTTGGGACAATCATGTCCAGCTGACAAGAGTGGGCTGGTGAGCCTGAGCCCTTGCTTTCCTAAGGAACCTGCTGGCATCCCAGGATGGGACCGGAAGGAGAGGAGAAGAAGAGGGTCTGCTCTGCTCCTGAAAGTGGACTAGTGCAGCGTCTCTGATTTTGGCTGTTCCTATTTCTCTTTGTTAAAACCAGGACAGTGATGGGTCTAGTGACGATCTGAGAGACCAATGAAACTTTCTTGGACATCTTCTGTGTGATTTATGTTTACTTTCCCCTTCTTAACCTCAGCGTTGTTGAGATGTAACTGACATGCCACAAGTCCCCTAATGTCAAGGCCATAAATGTAATTGGCTTTTCTCCAAGGCTTCATGTAGTTCTTCCAGCTCAGGAGCTTTCTGGAGTGCCCTTTGCCATCTGTGGTGATGCTTCTGTCCAAACCTTCTGCCCATTTTTATACAACCATATTCTTTTTGTTGATATTTGAGGACCTTATATATTTTGGGTACCATTATTACATCAGATGTATGGTTTGCAAATAATTGCCCTGTTTTCACTCATTGAAGATCAGTTGGAGGTGTGACTCAAGTAGTAGAGTGCCTGCCTAGCAAGCCTGAAGCCCTGAGTTCAAACCCAGTACTGCCCCTGCCCCCCAAAAAGAAACAAACGCCCTAGTTCATTCTTTGACTATCAGATGCTTTTCATTATCATGAAGTCCAGTTCATCAGTTGGTTTGTTTATGGATTGTGCCTTTGGGGTCATAGCTGAGAAACCCATGCCAAACCCACATTTGAACACTTTCTTCTCTGTTTCCCTCTACAAGTTCCATCATTTTAGAATTCTTACATTTAGGGCTGTGATTGGTTGCATGTGATGTGAAGTAAGATGTTAGTTTTGGAATTTTATTTTTGTACATATAGACATCAAAACTCCTAATGCCACTTAGTGAAAAGCCCATCTTTCCTCCAGGGCACTGCCTTTGACCTTGTCCAAATCCACTAGGAACTGCTCTATTAATGGAATATGTCTTCTGTCCACCTGTCTCCTGCTTAGGCTATAAGCCCCACACTCTTGGGGTGGCTGCTTCAGAACCATCTGGGATTAGGGATGCTCTCCCTCCCACACTGTTCTCATTCAAGGTCACTGTGGCTGGTTCAGTTGTGTCTAAACCATTTCAGTTAAAGTGCCTTGCTCCTGTTTGGTTTGAGAATACCCTGCTGCTGTTTGCTTCTGTATGAAGCATGTGCTCTTCCTTCCCTTTCCCTGCTATCCTAATGCCCATTGGATTAAGCATGTTTGTTATGAGTCTTCTTCTCTCCTCTAGTCACTGATTAACTCTTGGTGTTTGTAACACACGTCTTTCCCTTAGAGTCTACCCCTGTGTGATAGAGGACGACTTCCTGGGTGGCATAAGAGTCTTCCAGGAGAATGCCCATTTCTCTGCTGCAGCCTGCATGCTGTTTGTGTCATGCACCTTTTTTCCGTGCATCAGAAGCACCACCATTCGTCGCTGTTGTTTTCTCTCAGTCCGTTATGTCTTAAGGATATTGAAGCAATAAGAAAGAGCAGTGTTAGCACTTGTGGGGCCGTTTCGTGCAGGTCAGATTTTCATCTCCACAGCCCCCCACCACCTGAGCTCCCACATGTCTGTAGCGAGGTTTGTGGCCATGGCGTTATGTGGTGTCTGGAAGGCTCTGTATTGCCCTCGTGCCTTCCTTTTCCATACTTTGTTTTTAATAATCACATGCATTTCACAAAGCAACGCAGGAAAGGGGTTCAGGTTAGGCAGTGCATTGCCCCGCCTGACTCCCAAGCCAGGAATCACACCTGGCCAAGCGGCTTCAACTCCCCAAGTCCCATTTCCCCATATATAGGAGAGGGGGTAATCGTAATAATTGTAATTACGCCTATCATATCGTGAGGGCAATGTGAGTGAGCCCATGGAAAGGGTGTAGCAGAGTGTGGGCCATTTATGAATGACAGAAACTCTCCTTCTCCTTCTTGTTAACAAATCTTAGAACAAAGGAGACAAAACTCTCCACCTCTCCTCCATGTTGAAAAGACAAAGGCCATGTTTGCTGGCCTGGAGACACACTAGCTCTCAGCCATCCCCAGCTGTCTGCCACACCTCAGGTATTTGTCTCTACTCCTCTGGGGTGGATGCCCTTGCTGGGTGTGGAGTTCTAGCTGGATGGCATTTTTTTCAGTTCTTTGAGAATGTTGTGGAATGGAGATGGAGCTGAGTGGCAGAGCACGTGTGTGCAAGTGCGGGGCCCTGAGTTCAATCCCCAGCACCAACAAGCAACAGTGAATCTGCCCCTCTGTCTCCCACTTGCGGCCAACCTTGTCCTTGTTCCTCTGATCATAGAATGTCATTTGTGGCTACGCTTAATGTCTCTTCTTTATCACTGGGTTTTGAGCAATTTGACTCAAATGTTACTTGATTTAGTTTATTTTATGTAATCTCTGCTTGCAGTTCGTTGACTTTCTAGGACCTTTCATTTTGTAGTTTTCATCAAGATTGAGGTTGTTTGTATTATTTCTTCACTTATTTTTTCAGCCAATCTCTCGCTCCCTTTTGGGGTGCCAATAACTGTATGATATCATTCTTGAGGCTGGCTATCTTTGATGGACCATCACCAGCAGGACATAAAGAATTCCTTCTTGGCTCTGCAGGGTCCTGAGAACAACCTCTGCAGGCAGTACGAGGAGAAGGTGCGTCCTTGCATCGACCTCATCGACTCCCTGAGGGCCCTGGGTGTGGAGAAGGACCTGGCCCTGCCTGCCATTGCTGTCATCGGGGACCAGAGCTCGGGCAAGAGCTCCGTGCTGGAAGCTCTGTCGGGAGTCGCTCTGCCCAGGGGCAGTGGTGAGAGTCTATGTTCTTCTTACAGCTCCTCGCCAGGTCCCTCTGTGACCTTCTTCTGTGCGGGATCCCTGATGTAGAACACGTGTGCCTCCCCATATGCTTAAAGCTCCTCAATGTGACCTCTTACGACCTCCTGCGACTTCACTTATCCCCTTAAGGTCCTGTGTACAAGCACAGTCACACTTGGCCAGGGCTGAGGCATTTGGCCTTGGGGTCACCATTGAGACCATTGCACCATGCAGTCCCACGTTTCTGTGCGGGTTTGTGGAGTCTGCAGTTTGCAGAAGGTCTGGATAAGGGGATTGGGTCCCCAGCCCTCAGCTTCACGTATGAGGGTGTCTGTGTGTCCTGCCCGAGAGGTGCCCTGAGACCTGGGGATCACGCTTGGCCTGCTGCTCAGGATCCTGTTGAAGTTGCACAGCCCGGGACATGAGTGAGGCTGGAGGGAGTGGCCACAACTTAGGTGTTCCGAGAACATGGCACACGCAGGATTTGGAAGCGGTTTATTGGAGGCCGTATTCTAGTGGCCAGAGGTAGTAGTGAGTAACATGTGAATTCGGGGTCCATAGAGGAAGTTTGCATGAGGTTGAGAGGTTTCTGCTGAGTTTGAGCTTGAGCTGATGGTAGGATCTGAGTAGGAAGGCTAACTGGCTGGTGGCTTTCACACACACTGAACAAAAGTCCCCTGGGTGCCTATTACAAATAACTGTCTGATATGAAGCCTCAGAGCATCAGCGGGGATTGCAGAAGGCCCCCACTTCCCAAGCCATTGGTCTGAGTCTTCACGTGGGGTCCCTAAGAGCAGAACACAGTATTGACGCAGGCGTGGTTTCCTAGGCATTGTCACCAGGTGCCCTCTGGTGCTGAAACTGAAGAAGCTGCGGCAGGAGGAGGAGTGGACAGGCAAAGTCATCTACCGGGACATCGAGGAGGAGCTCAGTGATCCTTCCCAGGTCGAAAGAGAAGTCAACAAAGGTGAGAACCAGTGTGTTCCTCATCCCCTGTGTACTCCTGTCCCTGCTCTGTCCTCCTGCACCTAAGTCCCAGGCTCCTTGGCTTCCTCTCCCTTTACGCTCACAAAGACCACCATGCATTGCTTAGCGCGTGTAAGGAAGTATACGGAGTGATGCGAATTTTTAAATTTACTCTGTCCCTCATTAAATTTACTCTTCCCTCTTTCAAGGACTTGTCAACTCCCCAGATCCGAAGGGAGTGAAGCTGGGTGGGGTGAGAAACACTTTCCCTTACAGCTTGGTTGCAGGACATCCTCCAAGGGGACCCATGCTCACTGGACCCAACTGGGTCCTGTGTCTTCTCTGCAGAGGGTGTGTGTGCATGCCATGGTCCCAATCTGGCTGGTTGGTGGTGGATCTCAATAAATGAAAAAGCCCAGATCAGTTTGAAAGACGAAAGGGAAGCTAAGTATGTGTGCAGTGAAGGACAGGGTGGCTGACGATGATGGCATTTTGACTTCCCTTGTTTACTCTAGTATTTTCTGCAAATGTCACATGCTTAGGGTCAGTCCTTTGTGAAATATGCTAATGGCCTGCACTGATTCTTGAAGTAGGAAAGGAGGGGCTACAGTTCTATAAGATGGGAACACAAATTAACATTTGTCCACATTCCTACATAAAGTTCAGTAATGTTACCACGTGTTAATTTGGTCTGAGTAGGGATTAGATCGATGAGCTATGGCAGATAACTCAAAAGAACAGTGTATCAGTCAGCTGTGGCTGTGTAACAAACTGGCCTCCACACCTAACGGCCTACATTGTGCATGATCCTATGATCCTGTGGACCCAGTTGCAGGCTTGTTCTCTGGGCTGGCCTGGCTGCATGATGGTCCAGGAAGACCGTGGTCCCATCACAGCCAGGCCTTCTCCACCTGTGGTTGCACATGGGCCAGCAGGCAGGCTGGGTCCAGTCCCTGGTGGCAGCAGGGTCCTGGCAGCATCAGAATTCAAGCCCAGTGAGAAGCCCCTTTCCATCTGTTCTGGTATCACAGTTTCTTATGCCCCATTGGCTAAGAAAGTCACGTGGTCATGTCCAGTCTGGAGACAGGCTGGGTGAGGAAGGAGAAGTGGCAGATGCACGGTAAAGCCGCAGTTATGCAGGAGGAAGGGAATATTGGAAATGGTGCAGCAACCGCAGATGCAGCGGTTAAACTCTGTGGCATTTTCTCTCACGCAAACTTCTGAAGGGCACAGAGCAGAGCTGGGTTGGGGACTCAAGATCAGGAGCCAAGTGACCGTCTCCTTCTCCATTGTGTGTGGCTTCTGTCCCCAGGCCCCTGGTGATTTAGTCAGAAGGGACATATTCTGGCCAGCTGGCGATGGAAAAGGACACACCTCTGCCTGTTGAGCCACCCTCTAGACACTAAATGTGTCATTTTCCTGTGTCATTACCAGGGCTTCATGGCACAACCACAACTCGGGGACATGGTGTTGTGGGAATAATTAGCAACTCTGCCACGGGTGCCACTGTTATTTCCAATCAAGTTCTAGCTCCGAGTCAAACATTCCAAAAAGACGTGCTGCAGAGAAGAGCCAGGTGGTGTTCGCTCACAGTTTGAGGCAATGGTTTCACGTCCTGCGTTATCATTACCGAGGCGGAAGGAGCGGAGTGAAATCCCTTAGCAGAGGACCAATGACCAAGGCTCCTCCTGCCTACAATGAGTCGCTCCCCTTGTAGATGTCCAGCTCAGGGGGAGGCAGTTCACAGTGTTTTTGTTTGTTGTTGTTTTACTCACTGTGATCCACACTGATGGGAGGGGTGCAGTTTCCATCAGGAAGAATGTCTAGGCTCTGCTCAGCTGTGCGAGGTCCAGCCTGGTGTCCCGTGGAGATGGTCTCACCAGGTCTCTCTACAGACCCTTCTGGTCACAGCAAAGGAGGTAGTGAGTTGTCCTCGACGACCTTGAGCCTCAACCTCAGAAAGGTGAATCTGCTTTAAACATGCTGGTAGCATGGACCCTGGAGAACTGTCTAGAAGGTGCTGCCAGACTTCCCAGGAATGAGACGCTCACTCTGACCTCCCTGGATTTCCTGTTCCTCTTCCTCAGCCCAGAATGTCATCGCGGGGGAAGGACTGGGGATCAGTGAAGAGCTCATAAGTCTGGAGATCAGCTCCCCACACGTCCCGGATCTGACTTTGATCGACCTTCCCGGCATCACCAGGGTGGCTGTGGGCAATCAGCCTGCTGACATCGGACGCCAGGTGAGACTCCAGACTCCAGCCTCCATTCTGACCTGGCTTTGGGTGCCGGGGGGCTGTGTTAGAGCAGCGTGTATCCAAGACTCTGACTAAAGAGGGGACTTGTGGAGGTGGGAATGAGATTGGATGGCCTAGAGGTCGCCACCTGTGTCCTCAGTGTTGATGGAGAAAGTGAGGGAAATTGGAGCAGTCTGTAGCCATTTCTTTGGGGGAGAAATGAGAGCTGAAGCGAGTACAAGGTCAAGACCATGTCAAACTCTCCTTCACCCTCTCAGTACTCAGGACCATGTCATGTCATTTGTTTCAGATCAAGCGACTCATTAGGACATACATCCAAAAGCAGGAGACCATCAACTTGGTGGTGGTCCCCAGTAACGTGGACATTGCCACCACAGAGGCGCTGAGCATGGCACAGGAGGTTGACCCAGAAGGAGACAGGACCATAGGTAAGAAGAGTGGGGAGCTCACAGTGGCCTGTGGAGTGCCTGTGGGAACACGTAACCTGAGTCCAGGAGGGCAAGGCTTGTCACACAATGAGTGGAGTAGGGACCACTGAGGTGCAGGTTGGATCCCCACTGGGCAGGAGGAAGTGAGCCACCTTGGAGCCGTGTTGGTCGTGAGTTGCTGCATAACCTTGTCTTCCTGTTAGGAAGGGCACAGGGATTCAGAGGGTTGGGTGAGGGCTGAAGGAAATCCCACCAGTTAAGACTCAGTGGAAGTGGAAACTGTGTGATGTCCTTATGGGATGAGGGATAAACAGAATCTGGTCTCTGCAAGATGGGCTTGAGTGAAGAAACCAGGAAGAGCCTAGCATTATCCAAGGGACCGTCCTGTCCCCCGCCTGGATGAAACAACCTTTCTCTGGGTTCTTTGGGGCCCTGTGTGCTCTCCACCAACGATGACAGGGAGCCCTGGGGTTCTGGTGACTGGGTGAGAGCTGTGTTCCCTCTGCCTTGGGATTGTGCTGGTCCCTGATCCAAAGGTTCTTGCCCACAGGTATCTTGACAAAGCCTGATCTGGTGGACAAAGGCACCGAAGATGAGGTTGTTAACGTGGTGAGGAATCTCGTGTACCACCTGAAGAAGGGCTACATGATCGTCAAGTGCCGGGGCCAGCAGGACATCCAGGAGCAGATGAGCCTGACACAGGCCCTACAGAATGAGCGTTCCTTCTTTGAGGACCACCCACATTTCAGGTGCGCTGTGCCCACTGTCCCCAACCAAGGACCACGGTTCCTATGTGTGCCAATTGCTGGTCAAAGCAGACATCAGGGGTGTGTGTATGTGTGTGTGTTAGTGTAAGTGTGTGTGTATGTGTTTGTATCTGGCAATGTCTGTGAACCTTGCTTAGAAGCATAAATGTGGAATTCACAAAGTTTCTCAAAAAAAAAAATCAGTGAAAATAGGATGTGATTTGCTAGAGCAAATTAAATAGTGTGGTACTGGTAGCAGAATATGAAGAAGTAGAACAGAATGGAGAAGCAGCAGAAAACACACAGCCGACCCAGGATCGTGTGTTCATAGATGCCAAAGTGGCATTTGAAGTCAGTGTGCTGAACCAGTTTATCCACGTGGCCTGGGATAATTGTTTAATATCTGGAAAAAGTTATATGGGAATTTTGCCTAACATCCTATGCCATGTAAATATGGACTCCTAGTTACAATTACCATTACTAATGAACAGCTTGGAAGAACGTGGTGTGTGTTGTACAGGAGAACCTGCCATCCTTCATGCCACAGGAGAACTTTGTGTGAAAGGAAAGGCCTAACAAGTGGTAGGATTTAAAATGAACAGGACAGAGTTGGATACATTATCACGTTGACTTCTAAAAGGCGGAGGTGAGGTGTCACTGAAATGACAAGTGTGTCACTCAGGCATGTGCCCACCATGGCTCTCCACAGTAGCACAAGGTAAAACGACATGGTGTCCACAGTTGGGGGAATGCAGAAACAGGACGGGTATGATTTTGAAGTAGCACCTTACTCAGCCTCAGAAAGGCAGGGCATTCTGATAGGAGCTAGATTGTAGCCAACCTCGTAGACATGGTGTTAAGCCACAAGCAGACTAACACTGTGTGGTTCCACTGGATGAGGTCCCTAGAGCAGCAAATTCACAGAGACAGACAGCAAAGTGGGGCCAGGGGCTGGGAAGAGGCAGAAATGGGTGCTTGTGTTTAATCTGGCAGTTTCACGTTTGTAAGAGGAGAAAGTCCTGACGGTAGATTTTGGTAATGGTTACCCACAGTGTGAATGAGTTTAATGTCACTCAACTGTCCACTAAGCATGGTAAAAATGATCCATTTTACATCGTATGTATTTAGCCAGAATTTTAAAAAATCCACCGTTATAAAAACTAAGCTTAGTCTGAGTGTAGTTAGTTTGGTTTAATATGCAGAGATTCAGGCAAGATGGTGCATACCTGTAATCCCAGCACCAAGGAGGCTGACACAGGACTATTGGGAGTTCAAGGCTGGCCAGCCAGGGGTCCATACCTATGACCCTGTGTTTATGAGTGAATAAATGAATGTTGAGATGAGAGAATGAACAGTTATACGTATTATTGCACTTCTCCCAGCAGGCATCGCTCAGAACAAGAGGGATGTCACACAGGTGTGAAGACCCTATCTATAGTCAGATGTCTAGAGACAGTTATAATATGAGGGCAAGGGATCACTGAAGCCCACTGTGGAAATATCGGAGCTGACTCACCTGCAGCCACAGTTCTGTACAGTGCAACTCTGAGCACTTGCTGGGAACCAATCACAAGGCCTTTCACTTGTTGGAAGTAGCTGAATTGGCCTTGACCTCCCCGTGCAGGCTGCAGACATGCAAGTTCTGGCCCCATCCCAACGGACTCTCTCTTGTGTTCTCTCAGGGCTCTGCTGGAAGATGGGAAAGCCACGGTGCCCTGCCTGGCAGAGAGACTGACCTCCGAGCTCATCAAGCACATCTGCGTAAGCACGGGTGGGCCCCTGTGTTCTCTGAGAGGGATCCACGGACACCAGGCTGGGCAGTGGGGCTGGACATTGCTGGCACACGGCACTGTTGGAGATTTCTGGGCACACTGAGCTGTGCTTGGCATCGGTGATCCAGCATCGATGGCCTGGGTGCTCGGTTTCAGCTGCCATCACTCACTGGATGAGGGCTGTGTCATGGCTGTGAGCTTCCATTCCTGGAGGGTGATGTGAGGGTGTTCTTAGGAGCCAGGGCTCAAGAGGGCTTCTGGGGAGAGGCAGCGCCCACTTCTCTCAGACCCTGGTAGAGCTTCCAGCTCAAACCACTCTAGTTCTCCACTTGGGGAGTGGAGTCTCAGCAGAGATCCCCTGTGCTCTGCACCAGAGTTCAAGGGCCTCCTCACAGCCCCAGGATGTGGGAGGAGAGCCAGACAATCAATTTCCAGTGATCTATAGGCTGATGCTCCCTGGAGCCCCCTTGCAGCAGAAAGAGGTGCTGGTTTATTGGACTCCCTGCTGAGCCAGACTCAGAGATTTCTCTTGTGTCCCCGCAGCAGAATGAACTCCCAAAGCCAAGTACACCTTTTCTCCTTTTGATCAATGCCCTTCACCCAACCTGGGGTCCTTGCTTCTTTCTTCTGCAGTCCCCTGGCTTCAGTCTCTGAGTGTCCCCACTCTTACACTCGCTGATGCAGGAAAGGTGCAGTTGTCATGTTCTCCCCAGGGCTTTCAATGCTTGCAGTGGAAGGACGGTCCCAGCCCACGGTCAGCCTTGTAGCTGACTATCAGTATACAGATAGCCAAAGCTGTCAGGGACTCTGGGAACAACAGAAAACCTTGACAGCCTTGTACCTATCCAAAACAACATAAAAGTTGAGGAATTTCAGGCTGTTCCAATTCAAGTTTTAAGAACCTACTAGTCAGGTGGATCTGCCTGATCTCCCTGCAGAGGCTCAGGCAGTGTGGCAAGGAGGAATGGCTCGTTGGTGGCTCCTATGAGGCCAGGCCATGTGCAGTGGAACCTCCACACAACTCATGAGGCTGTGCACAGGCGCAGGAATGCGGGCAGACTTGGGTGGAAACGGGAACCCCTATCGTGTCTTTACGTATATGGACAATTTTTAGGGGACACTGGATGTCACCTGTATGTCACAGCTACTCTGGAGAGCAGACTCAGGGCCTCCTTTTCATTCTCAGTCCTTATTTATATAATCTCATTATTTTCTTTATATTTCTCTCAGAAATCTCTGCCACTATTGGAAAATCAAATAAAGGAGAGTCACCAGAAAGTAACAGCAGATTTACAAATCTGTGGCATGGGTGTACCAGAAGATGATAACGAGAAAACATCCTTTCTGATAGACGTGAGTGTTGCCTTTGGCCTCACACTGGAGGATCCTGTACCTGGTGGACTTCTGTCCTCACTCCCCCAATGCTGATCCAAGCACATTCTGCCCACTTAGTGCTTTAAAGGCAGTTGGGGTTGAGACAGTGGCCAGGGAGTGGTGGGCGGGAGCAGGTGGAGCCCATGGGGAGGGAGGGTCCCCTCGTTCATGGACTCTGCCATAGGAGCACTCAGCCCAGATCCCAAAGGAGATCAGGGGAGGGGAGGGACTTCCTGATACCCCAGTATTCTATAGTGGCCCAAAAGGAGGAGAAGGACCCACCCAGCTCAACACACACACGACCCCGACCTTGACCCCTGTGTTTAGGTGTCTCCTCTTATACTGCTGTTATTCTTCTTCACAGAAAATTAATGCATTCAATCAGGACATCACTGCTTTAGTACAAGCACAGGAGACCGTGGAGGTGTTAGAGACCCGGCTATTTACCAAACTCCGAAATGAGTTCTTCAATTGGAATACTGAGATTGAGAAACATTTCAAAATAGGTGAATGTCTTGTTGAATTTGGGCTGCTATAGCTAACTACCTTCGACTGGGGTATTTGTAGACAACAGAAATTCATTGCTCACAGTCCTGAGTGCTGGGAGATCCAAGATTAAGGAACGAGCCATTTCTGTTTGCTGAGGGCACATCTCTGCTTCCCAGATGGGTGCCACCTCGCCGTGTCCTCAATCAGGACAAGCAGCTCCTCTGGCCCTTGTTCTAAGGACATGCTTCCCATTCATGAGGGCAGTACCCTGGAGACCTGCTCAGTTTATCAAGACCTCCCTTTCAGTGCCACCACACTGGGGATGAAGTTGGAGGGCACATTGTGTCCCCAGCAGGGGGTCAAAGCATCATGATAGACCTGGGGTGTTGCCTGACACAGGGAGCGGGATGCAGGAGTGAGGATTCCAGGAATAGGGAGAGCCACACAGAAGCTACATTTGCTCTGTTCTGTGTTCTGAACTCAGCTGAGCAAGCACCTGTTACTGATTTCAAAGACACCTAAAGAGAAAATGTAGATTGATTGCTCTGCATCAACATCTTCTAGAAGAATCTGTCCTGCTGGATAGAGAGCACGTGGACATGGTGCATGCATCCTGGTTTCTATGTCACCCATCTTTGTTCACTGGCCAGAGTCATATTCCGGTGTGTCACCGTCAAGTCCTCAGGAGCCTGAAGGAGGCAGAAAGTGTGTTCTGAAGCCTACTCTTCACTCTCTCAAGATCCCTAAAGGAAATCACATATCCAACACGATAAGGGTGCAGTGGCTGAGGGAAATTCCAGGTGACGTCACTTGATGGGGATCCACAGGTCATTTCGACCAACCAGAGGTTCAAGTAAACATGTCTCCTTGACATTGAATGATGAATGTGGGAAAGAGAGTGACGCACTGTGGAATCCATTTGTCCTTGGCAGAGGGCATGGAGGGCAAGTGGGTTGGGTACCGGTGCTCTTGGTGGAGAACCATTTGTGATGAGCATTTGGGGTTAGTGACTCTTAGTCTGCATGTTTCTCGTCCTAATCTGTTTGAATAAGGACACCAGTCAGCCTGGATTACAGCCCACACTAACGGCCCCATTTCAATTTAGTAGCTTCTCTAAAGACCATCTCTGAAAACACAGTTACGCTCTGATGTACTGAGGGTAGGGCCTGAACACATGAATTTTGGGGAGACGCAATTCAGCCTATAGCATCAAACAGTGGAATATTTTTAGCCACTGAAAGGCACGAAGCACTGGTACACGCTACAACATGGCTGAACCTTGAGAACGTGACGCCACGTGAAAGAAACCAGCACAATGGACCACATATCATGTGATTCCTGGATGCAATGTCAGAATAGGAAATCCGTGTAGGCAGAAGCAGAGGTGTGGCTGCTGGGCTGTGGAGGGGGAGCTGGGGAGGGACTGCTGGCGGGGGTGGGGCTCCTCGAGGCCATGGGAGCATCTGGAATTAGACAGCCATGGGGTTGCACAGCTTTGGGAATATCTAAAAGTCATTGAGTTGTCCACTTTTAATAGGATGAGTTTTATTGTCTGTGAACTAATCTCAATAAAAACAATTCCTGTGGGAAACTATCTCCCCACCCAAAGCGGGAGACAAGCAACCTGTTCTCAGAGCAGCCAGGGCCCCTCTGAGTTGCCACCAATGCGGTGTCTGTCAGAAGAAGAGCATTCAGTCCAGTAAACAGTGACGTCATGTCACACTCAGGTAGATGTTTCCTGATCCTCCCAGCTCAGGACCATGTGGTGCCCAGGGAGCTTCAGCTGGTGCTCGGGTCTTCTCTGCTCTCCAGGCCTATGAATTCTGGCCCTCTTTCTTTTGTCTGGTCAGATTGGCTCTATGTGACTCATAGAGCCACATAGTACATTTCCAGAATATGCCTTCTGTAGTTTCTGCTTTTCCTGATTTCTGGCACGGTTCTCTGGCTCTGCACCTGTCACCTTGCCTCAGCTGTCTTGAGGTTGGTTTATTCTTCATTGCAGGCCTGTGTTTCAGTTTACACATCAATGTTCATTTGATTTGTTTTTGCTTGCCATTCATGTTTTCAGAAAGACCAGAATAGGATTGTCTATTAAAATCTGCAAGATTGTTTTCGTAAGAAGAAACAAAATCAGAGCTATTCTTTCCTCTGTAGGTTCTGATGTTTTATTTGGTGAAATGAAGAGATTTGAAAACCAGTATCGTGGCAGGGAGCTGCCAGGATTTGTGAATTACAGGACATTTGAGACGATCATAAAAGAGCAAGTGAGAGCCCTGGAAGAGCCCGCTGTGGACCTGCTACATAGGGTCACTGGTGAGTGTCTAGTTTTGCTTTCTGACATTTTATTCCTGGGGCAGAGAAAGTTTGAACCAAAGCCAGAGCCAAACTGCAAAGCATCCTCTATCACACTTTCTCTACCAAAATCCAATTCTCTTAATCTCCAGACGTCAACATAGAGGTCAAAAATTAGTGTTCAAAATTTGACAGCATTTTGACCCAGACTGTTGGGACCACTCCAGGAGAGCTGAAGGCAAACTCCTGCCCTTTGCCTGTGACCCATCAAGCATGGTGTGTATTTTCTACTCTGCCCTGTGCTCTTCCAGCAGCTGAAGGTGCTAGCACCTAAGATCAGGTAAGATGACGATGGCTAGTGAGCTACAAGCTTGTCTCTCCGTCTCCGGAGAGTAGCTTTGGCTCTTTAGTCAGTGCTGATTCCCTTCTGCTTGTGAGCCACAGCTCCAGTTAAAACCTTGGTGCATCCCACACAGTTGGCTACCTGGAGTGTGTGTAGACCCACAGGTATGAGCTCAGTCCCAGAAAACTGTCCCTAATTTCATATGGCTATCTCAAGTCTGTGGTCCCATCTTGCCTGCCTCACTTCATGAACCTGAGTTCCCCAATGGTCTTGAAATTGAAACATCAGGGATGGCTTCACTGATGTTTACCATGGACCATGAGTATGTTAGAAAAAGACAGGGGCATCTGTCGCTGTGGAGTGGAGCATCCCTCCTGGTTGACATTGGAGTTGTAATCCAGAAGCTGTGTGAACTTGGACCTGTAGAGGGTTCATGGAGGTTGCATGCAGAGGCCACACTGGTGGATGACATTCTCTGCCCTGCTTCTTCGCTGGAGGCCGACAGTGGGGAATCAAAGGCCCAAGCTTCTGACCCTGGCTTGGCACTATGGCCCTATCTTGGGACCACCAAGAGTTATCTCAGTAGAACAGTGGTGGTCCTGTCACACGGAGAGTTCCAGGGCACCCGGAGCTCAGCGTCAGGGTGGCACAGACAGCAGATATCTCTCCTCTGCTTCGCACCGGCGATTCTAATCACGCTCAAAGTGCCCTGTGTTGGGGTCTCTCAGAAGCAAAGTCAGGGGCGAGATGTCTGTGCACCCCGCCAAGTCCCCAACATGCAGTGGGTGCAGGGTGGTGCCACTGTGACCAGGGCATATATAAGAATTTCATTTTTGGAACTGTGTATACTTAGGATAAGAGGTTTAAGGTGATGTGGGTGATTGCAG